TCTTATATATATATATAATAGTGAAGGCTTATATATATATATAATATATATATATATATATATATATATATATATATTTTAGTTAATACATTAAACAGTAAAATTCGAGAGCTATAAAATGGTAAAAGAAACATTTAACTCCAACATTTCGTTATGAAGCTAGAAACGTTTAAACATAAAGCTGTTGAAAGAACAATATTTGAGAAATCAGCCTTCAAAGTTTATTTATGATTATGATTTTGGGCATTTCTCCAGGCAGAAACCATCACCAAATTGTTACAAATTGTTGATTTAACATTCAAAATGGGGAAAATTACAGCATATCATAATGTATAGATATATAAAAAATTTAGTTTAGTGCAACAAAATATATAGATTTCAAAAATTTTGACATACTCAGCATGTTTTGTCGATTACTGAAACACGATTTGCGACGAGAGACTGTTTTGGCTTGTCAGGCTTTGTCACATACCAGTTAATATTGTTAAATTATATATAAATCATCAAAGAAAGGTCAATAGAGTGCTCGAAAAAAGACATGATGGTACATCGTGTAGCATAGCTCTCAACAAATGTTATCCTATATAAATAAATACATTAAATGCCTACGAGATTCGATCCTGCAACCCCTCGCTGTCCGGGCGCCAGTTTTACAAGTGTACCCACATTTTAGTCGTTCATCTTTTTTTTTTTCGGAACTAGGTTGAGTATGTTCTAATCCGTCTTGACCCTACAACTCAAACGGCTAAGGTGAATTTAAAAAGTCTTGAAATTCTAGAGCTTCTAAAAGAGTATAAGAACAAGAATGAATTGTAAGTACAGTAGATCATTTTATCATAGAATTTAAATACCCAATTATTTAAGTAGTATATTTAATAACACACCTAAATAGATCAGTGCCATTTGATTGGTAGATTTCGGTTAGTTACACAATTTCAGCCCTCATGAAAATTTACAGTAGTTTAAATCACTGTTATGTCAGCTACTAGAGGTAATATATTGATTGGTTAAACACTCTTATGGTATTTGTGCATATAAGCTTGTAAGTATGGATAATTGTTCATTCCTGAAGATGACATAGGCCTAATTAATGTCGAAATATTGAATCCCAACACGATGGCGTGCATATCATACTTCGATTATTATACTTTCTTACAGTAGTTCCATCCGTGTTTTTTGTTCCAGTTGTTTGTCCCTTTGCACGTCTCTACAGTACTAATGTTCTCATTAGTTTAAAGAAGATGGACTGCTATTCGGAAGAAAAGTAGGCTCAACTTTCTTTTATATAAAATATGAAAATAAGTTGCAAAATTACTGTAACAACTGAACTGTTTAAACTTTGTTGCAAGTTGTTTGTGTTGAAACTTCGAATGATTAGAAGAAAGGAACGTAGGTCTAACTTTATTTTACATAAAATATCAAATGACAATTATCTATTTTAGGTGTGTTATAAATGAATAATCAATATTTTGTATTCGTGCAATGAAAAGAATATGTTCATTCATTAAATTGACTGTTCCATTCAACTAGCCTTAGCTCTACCTCGTTCAATTGAAAGTATTCTTCCCATTGCACTCTCATTTAAACATTCATCATTTTAATAAAAACAATATTATTCTCTAAATTAAGGATGATTCGTAGACAGCTGTGTTCAGGAGATCTCATTCAAACTTAAGTCTAAATTTCAAATCCAAAATTATGATTTATCGCACAGATCTCTGTATAAATAGGTCTGTTTATTACTACTAAATATCCTAAAACGATCGAAATTCAATATAATACTGTATATAAATACAGCGTTTTATACAGTATACATGCCTCGACGTTGTAATTTTTGATTCAACGCTGATATAATGAATAAATATTGTAAAATAAAATGGGTTGTGGTTCTCCTTATAAAAAAAATACATTCAAAAAATGCAATGAAGTTTAGTTATTCATTAAGTAGTATTGGTTATTCTCCAACCTCTTCCTTTATTATATATATTTTCCCATTTTAAGTAGTCATCCTTATGCATGGTCTCCGGAGTATGCTGACTTTATGGTTGAAGGAACTCCTGCTACGCCGTATGGAGGAACTTTGGCACATGTGAACACTGTTGAAGCCAATATGCAGTTAAGGTAATTTTTTTTTATTTAGTGATTTTAAATATTCATTTGATCTATTTTATGGCTGAATTGTGAAGTTTCTAATATTAATATATATATATATATATAATATTATATATATACACATATATATATATATATAATATAATATAATATAATATAAATTAAGATAGCCGTTTAAAAACACTGTTAAATTATATATAAATCATATCAAAGAAAGGTAAATACAGTGTTCGAATAAAGGACATAATAATAGATCGTGTAGCATAGCTTTCAACGAATGTAGTCCTGTAAATGAATGTAAAATGTAAATCATTTATTTACAGGACTACATTCGTTGAGAGCTATGATACACGATTTATTATTATGTCCTTTATTCGAACACAGTATTTACCTTTCGTTGATGATATATATGTATATATATTTGGTAATGGGGGAATCTTTTTCAATCTGGGTGGAAGTTTTGGGGTCCAGGGGTTTTATCGAAAAATGTTGAAAACCATTCCAAATGCTCTTCTGGTGTTTTTGAGCAGCTTTCAAATGAATTTAATTTTCGTGAATTAAAACTGAATCAATTTGTGCCAATATTGAAGAATCGGCAGTAGACTTACCTGCAATATTGTTAGTAGATCAACTGTAGTAGGAAGTCTACAGACAGCATCATATCATACACACCATCTTCATCATCATCTTCTACTTTGCAGAACGTCTTTTGTGTATAGTCGCACATAAAAACTAGTGCATGTCATAGGCTTATATGAGGCCAAGGCACACATTGACAAGTGCATAAATCGCACGAAGTTGTGTTTTGTGTTGGTCTAGTAGAGCGGAACTCCCTATTTTGTGGGAGGGATATATATATATATATATATTTCATTAAAAATTGTTCTTATTCTTATTCTTTATTCATCTTCCAGATGTATTGTGTATTGCTTAATGAAACATGCAATTTAAGAGCGATGGCAACTTTTTTCTTTGAATGAAAATATATAAGCTGTTGATCTAATAATAGTTTAGCTGCATACGATCCATTGGTACATTTACCAATTTTCAATCATTTGACAATAGCCGTTCTCCATTAAAAAAAACCCTTTAAAAAAAATGTTTGACTTAATATTGAAAAAATGTATCTCAAATGAGCTTGGTAAGCAGAGAGAGAATTATTATTATATGTATGCGATTCTCTCCAATTCAGTTCAGTTCTTGTTTATTATTATTATTATTATTATTCTGAATGTTGTTATTATTATTTAAACCAAGTTTACACTACCTAAAAAACTACCTATTTTATCTTCAGACGTCAAGTACTAAGGAGTCTAATGGATGAACAGATGGGAGAGATACCACTGACTTTGACATCCTATCCAAGGTGCGATAATATCTATATATTATGTCCATTAGGTATATCAACATCTTCAAAACATCAATATAATATTAATTTGCAATATTTTGAAGTTTAAATATTGTATCTTATTTAGACTAGGCTGTGCTAATTCTTCACATCCAAGTTATGAACCAAACCCGAGTGAAACCAGCGTATTGAATTCAATCTTTATTCCAGATGAAATAATATGCAGTTCTCATCCAAGATTTAGGTAAACAGTTACTCTATATACATTTTCATGAGGATTATTTTTCTTTTGAACAAATGGAAACATTGACGTTTACGTGAAAGCGCCCTCTGTGAGCTATGTCGATTGAAAACTATTACATTATATAATGAATCTTTTAGAACATTCACAAGAAACATTCGGAAGAGAAGAGGTGAGAAAATTTGCATAAATGTGCCAAGTACGTAAGCTGTGCTTTTTAAATATTTTCAATCGATATGCAATCAAAATAATTATGTACCAGACGAATGTATTAAGTATTAAATTTGATTTTAACTGTAGTGATAGTGCAACAATTTTAGTTTATATAAATGTTAGTTAATGAGGTATTTATTGCCGGTAATGTTTGGTTTTGGTGCTCTTGACGTTTTAATTGTCATATATTTATTTTTATATATTTATGTCCAATGTAATCAATTGTAAATTAAACGTGTATCTATAGGTACATTAAAGAGAAATTTTATTTTATTCGGGAATATGTTAAAGTCAGGTATGTTATTCATAGGCTAAATGCAATATTTTGTTATTATTTAGTTTATAAGGACCTAAATACTCCATCACCTTTCATCGAGAAGTTCTCAAATGATTTTGATGGCGAATCTGCCAGAGTAGCTGCTGTAGACCACATCTACATGGACGCCACTCCTTTTGGACTTTGCAACTCGTGCTTACAAATGACATTTCAATGCTACTCTATAGAAGAAGCGAGACTCTTATATGATCAGCTTATTCCACTCTGTCCAATTATGGTAAAGTTGATTTCCATACAATCGCTACAACCTATCGTCGACAACTTTCGGTGATGATGATTATTGGTCTGTCGAATCGAGGAGCCTTCCCGATTGCGTCGGGGACTGCTCGGTTTCCATAGAATCGCTCAGGCCCTCCCTTCGACAGTCGCTGACGTTGTCGGGAAGGTTGAACCTGGTTCAACTTTGCCCGATTTAGTTGCAAACGAATCAGGGTGCATTTCTAGCTGCCCTGACATAATCGGGAAGGCACCCCGGTTCGTCTGCAACGCAATTGGAAAGTTGAACCGCTTCAACTTTCCCGGCAACAGTCGGGCCGACAGGGTGAGCAATTCTATGGGAACCGAGCTATACGCAGCACAACGATTGCACGGAAAATTCCCAGCTAACAAAATTACGTTATAAGAACGTAATGATAACGTTACATTTTGGTGATAAAAACGTTATTTTGTAGAACCATATGTGCGTACTACTAGCGATTTTGAGAAAACCAGACATAAGAAACTGTGATGAACACATTTAAGAATTGCTAAAAAATATATATTCTAGGCCATTATGAATATTACATAAAGCCCTGTCCAGACTATCAATTTTTTTGACAAAACATGTGACATGGCATAGTCGTAGGCCTAACGACATCACATCACATTACCATTTATATATTCAAATCATGACTACGGTATACATTTTTTGTCAATGAAAATTAATTGTTCTGGACATAGCTTTATTCTATAAATTTCTATCAATTTTCTATCTAAAATCTATAGAATTACAAATTATTAAATGAAATATTTAATTATAATATAATGTCACTATTACTAACCTATTTTAACAGTAACGGTTATATAAGATTGTTGGGCTTTTTTAATTGATAGATGGCGCTGTCAGCTGCTTGTCCATTTTTTCGTGGGTTTGTGTCAGATATTGATTGCCGTTGGTATGCTTCGGTGGCATCAGCTGATGATAGAACAGCGGAAGAAAGGGGGCTCAAGGTAACCAAAACATTCTTCATTCGATTGATAGCAGATTTGTCCGTCAATCAATAACTCAATCAACCAAACAATCTCCTCCAAAAGTTAACAAAATCAAGTTATAACAGAATTAGTCTACAGCCGATTTTCATTATCATCATCTTTATCATCATCATTATCATCATCGTCGTCGTCGTCGTCGTCATCTACAGCAGTCATTACAGCAGCGGCGTAGAGGATATTAGCACTCTCAGTCTCACCTCCCAACTAAAATATCATCCATGTAGTTTGAAAAATCACCTAAAATTACCATATTTTGCGAGATAGCGCCCCTTACCTAATCATGCCCTCACACATGACCTTCGTGCTCCCCCATCAGGGGCCCCCCCCCTTATAAGCCTGTCTCTTATACACATCTAGATGTGTATAAGAGACAGCATCTACANGGGGGGGGGGGTGCGGCAAAGATAATAATTTTCCCGGTTAGTAATTTATGACTTGGTGTGATACCCCCACCCCCGCCACCCATCATATAGAAAACAATACGACATAGGGCTTATTTTATTTAAGCCACACACGTGTGTTTGAAACTAAATATAAGCATTTTCATCGTGGTTTTATTTATTACAATCATAGGCCTATTCTTTTACCATCATTACACATTGAGGCCCTTCTTTTAGGTAAAAGGATCTAAATTGTCTTTCTCAAGTTTGGGACTATTATGTTTTTAAATAACTTAGAAGGCAAAGGAGGGCAAGCACAAGCTTTAACCCTAACAATATGCGCATGAAAAATGTTTGTGTTTTTAATTGTAATTTCGTCGGAATTGATCAAAACTCCCTAAATGTGCAATTTTTAGAGGAAATTGGCCTACCTCAACAAGAAATGCTCTTATGTTATATATGGCCACACTCGTTTTTTAAAATTGAATATAAGCATTTTCCTTATGGCTTTATTTATTACAAACATATTCTTTCAACATAATTACACATTGAGGCCCTTCTTTTAAGTAAAACGATCTATCTTAAATTTTCTTTCTCAAGTTTGGGACTATGTGTTATAACTTAGAAGGCAAAGGAGAGTAAGCACAAGCTTTAACAATAAAAAATGTGCGCGAAGCGCGCAAAAAAGTTTTGTTTTTTAATTGTAATTTCGTCGGAATTGATCGAAACTCCCTAAAATGTACAATTTTTAGAGGAAATTGGCCTACCTCAACAAGAAATGCTCTTATGTTATATATGGCCACACTCGTTTTTTTAAACTGAATATATGGCTTTATTTATTACAAACATATTCTTTCAACATCATTACACATTGAGGCCCTTCTTTTAGGTAAAACGATCTATCTTAAATTTTCTTTCTTGAGTTTGGGACTATGTGTTATAACTTAAAAGGCAAAGGAGAGCAAGCACAAGCTTTAACATTAAAAAATGAGCGCGCAATTCGTCTCAATTGATCAAAACTCCCTAAAATGTGCAATTTTTAGAGGAAATTGGCCTACCTCAACAAAATATGCGATTTAAAATTTGAGATTTTCAGGCACTTTCCCTGGTGAAAAGGGCATTCAATGGGGAAAGANNTTTTCCCCTTGTCCCCCGGTGGTTACGCCACTGCGGAGAATACCTGGCGGCTTAGATCAAATGCGATATGGACACTTTTTGAAGTGGAGAAGGGGTTGCAGGCCGGGGTATTGTGATATCTGTTCATTTTTTTATTCTTGCCTTTATTTTTCTCTAATCTTTTTCTTTTCCTTTTTCCTTTCTTTTTCTTTCCCCTTCTTTCTCTTTCCCTCCCTCTCCCCTCTTTCTTTTCTCTTCTTATCCAGCCCGGTACGACGGCTTGGTCAGCCCGGTAAAAACCGTCAGGGGGGACAGTCTGCCCCCCTGGCCCCCCGCCTGTTACGCCACTGCTTATAAGATGAATGGGAATATGAATCATGCAAATCTGGAATCAAATCTAGGTGGTGGGGTCAACGTTCCGCCCCCGGGAAAATTTTGATTTCTAGATGGCGGGAAATGACCTTTCTCGACTTTTGAGTTAGGTGTCTAATTACTTTGTTCTTCAAAATTCAAGGTTTTCCCCCTCATGAAAATGGTAAGGTAAACTTTCTCATTACAGTAAATAGGCCTGTTATGTGTGTATACATACATTTAAAAAAAAAATGAGTAGTTGCATACGATTTTTTCCATGAGATGAATCCCAAAAAGAAAGGAGTGTCCGGGGGTTCTTCCCCAGGAAAATTTTGATTCCTAGAAGGCGGAAATGAGCTTTCCCGACTTCTGAGGTGTCTATTAAATTAAAGTCATTAAAAAATACTTCAGAAGTCGGGAAATCTCATTGTCCAACATTTAGAAATCAACACTTTCCCGGGAAGAACTCGAAG